GAGAAAATTTACTGCCACTTCATCCAGCACAATAATAGCTTATATGTTCATGGCAGGGAGAGGAAATAATGTGATTTTGCAAAGGACAAGAAGTCTTTAAAGTACGAGGAGCTATTGGTAATGTTCTGTATGTGATGTCAATCATTTAAGCAGGGCTGGCTGGAGGATGTTTGTTCGTTGGTTTATCTGTCTGTCATGAGAGTGAGGCATTACAATAGGACAGACTTTTTTTTTCTTCAAGAGCTTCCCATTTTCCAGCCTAATCCACCTTGATTATTTTAAAATTATTTCAAAGCACTTGCTTGGAGGTGTTAACCGTGTCAGGGCTTATGTTATGTACTCTGCAAACACACCAGTGAGGACTTCTGTCCTAAAGAGCATGAAACCTCTGCAGTACACCTACCTTACTTCAGTAGTATTAGGGAAACATTTTCCTGGGCATGTCCCAGCCACCTGCTCCTGACAAACCCAGAAGTGCAGTGGTGAAGCTACTCTGGGGCGTTACCTAGTGGCTACTCTCAGGCACACCAGAGACAAAGGTGTCAGGAGCAACTGTGAAGGAGCACCACAGAGCAGCTCCACTGTTTCATTCCCATATTTAATGGGAGTGGGTGAGTAGGAAATGCTTGGAACCATCCCTCCTCAAGTGTGCTGTGGAAGTGATGTAGTCTTACCCTAAAAGGTAAGGCAGTTTTCATGGGGAAAGGCGTGGGCAGCTAATCTATGTGAGCATTACCATGCATGTAGGAATTGTAAAAATATAATTATGTAGAAAGATGCTCTTTAAAAAGATACGGGGTAAAAGAACCAAAGTTAAATCTCCTGATCACTAGTATGCCTGAAACTTTTAAGATGGCTTTAGACTCTCTCCAAGCCAAAAGAGACACTGAGCTAATACATTGACACTAATGATAAGGTGGAACCAATAAGAAAAAAAACCCCTAAAGGTTCCAGGTGAATTGTCCCCAGTTTTAATAAAGTACAGTACAGAGTAGATTTAACTAACTCTTTGAAAGCTTGCTGTCTAGACAAAATGGGAAAAATTAGGGTTCTGATTTCTGACCTCAGTTACATCCCTGTATGTTAGGAATAATTCCCTTTTTGAATTGTTTAACTGCCTTAAAGTTTGTGAAGTTGAGATCAGAATGCACGTGATTCCTTGACTGTGGTCTTTGTCCAATGTTGCCTGATACTGGAGAACGGTAGGGTCAGGATGTATGGCTGCTCCTTTAAATTTATATTCCTAAAACTTTAAGTTTTAAACAATTTTCCCTCATACAGCACACCACTGTGCTCAATTCCCTCTCCCATTGATTTTTAAATCCGGGGTATCCAGCTTGTTATTTGATCCCCATGGACTGGATCTTGCCTACGGGGCTTCTTACAAGGATGGACAACATACCTCCAGCAGCATCACGGCAGCTTGTTGGTAAGGCTGCTGGAGCTACTGCACTGGTGTGGCTCCAAAACCCATGGTGTGAAGCCACTATTGCTTGCCCTCTCTTTTCTCTTGCAGCTGACTTAATCTCCAGTGGCAACTCAAGCCCCTGACTTTGGCAGGCAAGGGGGTGGGGGAGTGGCAGTGGTGTTCATTACCTGGGTTCCAGACCTGCCCCAACATAGCAGCGCCAGTAGCTGTAACCAACCTTACAGGTTGCAATTTAACCACTGCCAGCTGGACAGCTCTGACTTAAATGACTCGGGGATTTCACACACATTACGTTTTCAATTGACGACAAAATGTAAATTGTTGGGTGTATGGGCTTTGGAACCATTGACCAAATTATCCAAGTTGTCTAATACTGGCTATTGATAATGAAGAGAATTGTATTTTGTTTCTATTATTGGCAGAAACTCATGTAAATCTTGTAGGTACGATCTGTTTGAGTTTGGGCCTATTATGTAAAACTGCAATAACTGTTTTTGAAATTAAAGTTATATATAACCTACATTTCTATATGAGCATTCAGAAGAGGGAGAGAAACTACAAAGAATGTATCTGGCTACTTTTAAAGTGAATCTTGATTTGGGGAGTGGGCGTTTTTGGGTTTAACAAAATGTAGAAATTACACAATGAAGTGTTCTTTTCTTTCCTGTAATTTGTCTGCCTCATTGTCTGTCGTGATTCCTCTGTCACTTGCAAAGACGGGAGAAGGGAAGGAATCCTGAGATGACAGTCTGGGAAACAGTCTGTAGACACTTTTATCTCATTGTGTATCTTATTAAACTTCCTCCATAATGGTGGTATGTTCCATAAATTACCTAGCAGAATTTTCTATTTGTGATCTTAAATTACACACGTAGATTGGTTTTTTTACTCTCACATTCAATCTGATGTCAAAACAAAATTATATGCTTGGTAAAGGGCGGCTGAACCAAATAACCACTGCAGGCCCCTGGATAATAATAGGTTACTAAACCAGTACTACAGCAGTCTCTTCAGTCTGGTGTTTTATACAATTGTGCAAAGTTAGAGTGCCTCTCTTACCTTTTTATAAATGTCGCCTTTCCTGTTTCCTGATACTTATGGTATCTGTTACCTTTTCAGAAATAAATACGAAATGTGCAGTGTGAAGTGTTCTGACTTGAACCAAGAGTGCTAGACTGCATTTATAAACAAAATTTTGCTTTGGTTTTTACCAGGAATGTGTTTTACCTAGCTGGGTTTCTTGGCATGTCAGCAAACTAAGTCACTTTTTTCCAGAGAAAAATATATATATCTGATAGAAAAGTATGACTTATGCACATGGAAGTTGGAGCATAATTCAGAAAGCAGGGGGAGGGGGAGTAAAATGAACTCTTTTCTCTCCCTTCCAAACTCCTAAATTTTTTTCATATTTCTAATACACTGTAATGGCTAAAATCCTAGTACTACTGGGAAACAATGAACATTGTTCCATACCTTTTTTATTCCTGAAGCCAAAACAGACTGACAGCATGCACTTGCTCTGTACTCATTAATAGAGGCTACATTTGGGCCATGGGGAAAAAAGTCTTGGAAGAAACTAAATGGAATTGATGTAGTGAATTAAATATGAGCCCCTCTTGTTTGAGGCTCATGTCATGTGTGCCATTGGTTAAACTCCCTTTTGTGCCTCACTATTTTGGACTGTTTGTTTTCAGTTATACTTTTTGTATGTTCTAAAAGAAACCTAATATAGGGCTATTTTTAAAAAGCTGAGCGCTTTGTGGCCGCAGCAGAACCTAGCAGCTAGGCCTACAGTGGTTTCCCCCTACCTCTGCCCCAAGACAGACACAGTTGCACAAGCACCCGTGACACGAGTTTTGCCTACCTGTGGCCAGAGGTGCAGGGCCTCAAAACCCAGAAGCCCTGCATCTATCTCGTTGACAGCTGGCAGGCTTTTTGCCCTCAGCAGGGACTAGCAGGCCTGCAATTCTCACCCTGCTGCAGCCTAACATAAACAGTGTCACCCAAGTCATGAGTATGGCTTGTCCGCAGCTTGAGGTGCAGTTTCCCTAAACCCCTGCACCTATCTCCTTGAAACTTGGCAGCCGTTGTTGCCTCAGCAGGGGCTACCATCCCTGCAGTTTTGACCGTGCTGTGGCTTAACACATACACGTAACGTGAGTTTTTCTCTCAAGACTTTGGGGTGCAATTTCCCCAACCCCCCTGCACCTATCTTCCTGAAACTTGGCATGCCTCATGCCCTGGGAAGGGGCTACCATTCCTGTAAGTTTCATCCAAATCTGGTCAGAAATGACAAAGTTATAGCCTGTTTCGACCTTCCCCATTATAGCCTATGGGCGAAATGTCAAAACAAAAAGGAACAGCCATTTAGACTTGAAACAAAAGTTCAAACAAAACACTGTTCCATTGAAACGCTGGTCAAAATGGAATGCTTCCATTTTGTACAGCCCTATTTTAAAGTAACTTTGTAACTTGGCCCATGTATCTGCACGTGTAGTAGTATGTTTTTGCAGTGCTTCAAAGTGCCTGTGGGCCCTGTCTGTCTATGGCTCCAGTTATGCATGCAAAGTTCTCCTGAATGTTTAGTGTTACTGAGTTTGCCCTTACATTTTTCAAACAAGTTATGGAGTAGTGGTTGCATGACAGTCTTCTTTACATTGGGACTCATACCTCAGTATTAAATGGCCATTGAAAAGTATAATTCTTCAATACTGGCTTTTTCATTATTCAGATTTAATCCCATAGAAGGGTGTGCATAGTCCAAGAATTTTTAATTGATCTGGATAGGTTTTTTTGGTTACTTGAAGTTAATTTAATTCTTAGCTTGGACTTTGGCTGGTATTTCTTGATAGCTGTTTTTGTCAGGTTTTAGTTGCTTTGTTCAGCAAAAAAATATTGCTGATATTATTGGGTAAAAAACCACTGTTGGTTGCAGAAGATGTGACTGCTTTTTTTAGGAAGCAGTTGCATTTCAGTGACCTGACACGGAAGAGCTAAAGTCTTTTAATACTTGTTTCAGCTTTGTAAGGCAGAAATATAAATACCTTTGCTGGATTTCTCTTATTTCATCATTTCTTGTATGAATAGATTATACTGTAAAAACAAAACTTTAACACATGGCTTGACTCATAGTATAGTATGTTAAGATATTAAATGATATTAGGCAGGGTTTTCTTCATCATTTACTAATGCATACAAACAATACATAGACTATTGTTATTGAGTAGTAGGCTGCTGCTTGTTTAAACACCACTAATATATGTCAAAATGGAAAGAAATGAATACTCCAGTAACAAGGTAGCTGGATCATTCTCTTGTCTGGTTTGTTGTAAAAATACAAAATAATTATAAATTGTTATTTTCTAAGTAAATGCAACAAAATAAAAGAGTTGTTCAATCGATATCATGCATGTTACATTAGAATCCCTTTATTTTAAGAAAAAGCTTTTTTATGTTTCTGTAGTGCATAACCGCCTAGAATTCAATCTTAAAATGTATTTGCATTTGCTGATGTGGATTTCTTTACATTTTATTGCAACTAAGACACTATTTTATTTTTCGGTCCTTCCAGGGAAACTGCATCAATCTAACTGAAGCCTTGACCCTCTATGAAGAACAGCTTGGCAAGCTTTATTGTCCTGTGGAGTTCTCAAAGGAGGTTGTATGTGTCCCCTCATACATGGAGTTGTATCCTTGAAAAATGTAAAAGATTGCTTCTGCTTGGTTCATAAACTAAACAAGCTCAGGTATTTTTCAGTGTTGAAGTAAACTGAATAGTAGGTTACTCCTAAGTGGTCAGTAAATTGGGTTTAATGCAGTAATTTAAACATGTGATTCATTCACTATAAAATGAATATAAATTATGAAAATATAGGGGCTTTTTTTTAAGGTGCCATGACCTCATAGCTCACATTGACATCCGTGGGACACTTCTTTCCCAACTGGACCCCTTGTTCCTTCCAAAAATGTTAATACAGCTGCTTATATACTGTGAAAAATAAGTTTAGACAGAATGATGATGAGTTCTATTCCCCACTTTATGGATGTATTTTAAAGGGATAGAAATGCTACAGCCAAACAAAATAACATTTTTAATTTAATGCTGAAGTACATTTTAAGTAGTTATTGCACCATTAGCACAGTTGTATGCAAAATACTTCAAGAGAACTATGGCTGCATCCATCTTTTGGAAGGTCCATTTAAGTGATAAATTCTGCTGTTTTGGTCTGTGAAGCAGGCATAATTTGGCTGCCAGTGCAAAAAGAAGCCTTTACACAAATAATATGTGTTTTAGTGCATTTTGCCTTCTTCACTGGTGATATGAAATGACTGCTATATGTACAAGAATCCCAAGGCAGGAAACTAGTCACACTGACCTCAGACTGGCCCCTACCAAGCAAGGTGTGCTTAGCAAAATACTTATTTTGTTCTTTTTTTAATTTTGTCTTTGCTTTTTGGTGTATATGCAGGATACGTGAGATGTTAATTAGTAAGGTTTCCAAGGAGGAAGCTTGCATCAGAAAGGGAAGGAGATTCCATCTGAGCTCTGTTCATAGATGACTGATCTTCTGACAGCATTTTACAGTTGCATATATTAGCATGACAAATTATTAACAGGGAAACCAGAGTGCTTTTTGTGTGCTGTATGGGTGGCCTCAAGACTTGATTCCATTTCTCCTTGAGTATTTTGAAATAGGTTGATACCTTCTCCTCCTGCTCAAACCTTTTGCTATTCTAGGTGTTTTTTTTCTCTGGATGCATGCAGATAGTCTGGCAGAATAATCAGCTGATGAGTATCTCAATGCAGTCAAAATATTCAACTTTTTATTTTCTCCCCTGCATGCTTCCACAATTTTTGCAAACCTATACAAACTAGAGAATGCTCATGCTGACTGTATTGTCAAAAGAGGACTTCTGAAATGTAGGTATTTGTTGATATACACGCTAATAATTTATTTTATGGACAGTCTGTCATTTCAATTCCTTGCAGAGACCTAAAACGATGATGCAGGCTGCCATCTAGGGCATGTGCGAAATCAATTTATAAACTTAAGTGCATACATCTATGTGAAACTACTTTCCATAGAGTAAACTCCAAATCCTGGAACTTTGTTTTGCTCTCTCTCTTACTGCAATCCTGAAACCTACAGAAGTTTTTATGTCCCCTTGCTGTGTCCTATTCCACAGAACTGAGTCTAATCTCACTTACACTTCATGAATAACAGAAAATGGGAAATTTAGGCAAATCAGCCCTTTGTGCTGTTCAAAAGCTAAGTGGTTTCTTCAGATCCTCTGAGCAATTGGAGTTCATTGATTCTGCTATATCAGAGTCATTTTTCCTTCAGAGGGAAAAGGAGGATCTGCCCTTTTAGTGCAACGTCCTGGTCAGCCTGTTTTCAGTCCAACGTACAACACGGTTAAGCGAGAACAAGGCAGATACTGTACAAAGGTAAGACTGACATCTTCAAAGATATTTAGAGTCCTAATTTCTATATAGCACATACTTCCTGTTAGTTTCAACGGGTGTTATATGCCACAATACCTCTGCGGATCTGGACCGGGTCTGGGTGTAAGAAAGAGATCCTACATTTTGGATTATGGAAGTGAGTGTAGGATTTTGCCCACCCTGTCTTTTTGAGCTGCAGTAAACAAACTATCGGCAGACTTCTCACCAGTTTTAAAAGTGTTACTTTGTCAAAGTATGACCCACTTTGCTTTATTCCTTAACTGATTTATTCAGATGGGTGTTCTATACCGTTTGGAAGAAGAGAACTGAAATTTGAAGCTCAAGATTTCCTAAGTGTACATGCTGCATGGAGCATATAGGCTTGCCATGTGTTGCATATTGGCATCTTGAACCTTTAAATTATATGCTGTAGATGATTCTGAAACTTAGTCATGCTATTGATTGTGAATTCTTTAAATGTTTTTTATTATTATTTTAATTTAAAAGCAAATGGAAAATGTATATTTTGATGAGCTAGGGTGTTATTTTTGAAAGTCAACTCAAAGATGAGTTAGCAGCAAGTCTATAGCTGCTGAATGCACTGAACCTTTAGAATGTGATCCTTTTTATTTTTTGTAGATCTTCACAAACTAATTAAAAACAACATCTTTAGCATTTCATCCCTGAGGGTGGTCCATGTAGTCTTTGTTTGGTTTTATCTTTTTTTCCCCTCCAGATACTTACTTTGAAGCTACAGTGCTTTTATTGGAGAGAGGGTTGCTGGTTATGTTTTTGTTTTTTAAGTGAACATCACAATGCTTCCAATACAGTAATTCTGAAGGGCATAACTTAAATCAAAATACCCCATGTCCTTGGTTATAAAGGGAAGGAATGAAGTTTAGGTTTGTTTGTTTGCTCCTGCTGTAGTCCTTCCAGCAGCAGATTTGACCTGTTGCCACTTGAAATTATTTAGCTGCTGTCACATTTATTACTTGGATTTTAATGTAGGTTAACACTAGGTTATAGAAGCATTTTCAGCACCATAGATTTTGAAAATTAAACCAGGTTTTCACTCTTGCCATTATGTGAGAAGTGTAATGAGGGCTTTCCTTAGAAAGACTTTGTATATAGTTATGGCCTAATACTGTGTTAATAAAGACTGGAAAAATTATTTAGATCATTGTATATACATGCACACACATTTCAGTTCCTTGCAGAGGAATTGTGTGTGTACAATATAGGTGCACCATTTATATAGGTGTATAATGATTTAAGTAATGTTCTGTCTTGTTTTCCTTTTTGAAAATGAGACAGAACATTATTTAGATCATTGTATATCTGTATAGATGGTGCACCTATATTGTGTGTGTACACACACGAACACATATAGTACAATGTACAATGCACATATATGTGCATGTTTAGAAACAAATACGTTTATTTCACTAGGATGAGCTCTGATCAAATGGCTGCATGAGTTCCCATTGATACTAATTCAGGATTAGGACTGTACATTGTATCCACCTCCAAGTCAGAATTCCAGTGGGAAGCAAGATTTCATTGCTTTTGTTTTGTTTAGAAAGGTAAACATTTCTTCCTTTGGCTGTTTTCATATTATCAGAAAATTTATTTTTGTAAAAACTTGCTATTTACCAATTTCATAACATTGATCCTAGTTGATCTTTAAAAAGAGCCCAATACATAGGAGGTAAGAAGAATAACTCTTATGTACATTTCCAACAGAGAGAATAAAGAAATGCACTATCTTTCCCTGAATATTCCACGCTTTGGACCAAAATTATATTTTTATTTTTTTAAACCATTTTATCTCCATGTCCTATATTTTGAGACAGTGGTGGGCTTTCCTTAAGTTAATAACAAGATTGTCCAAAAAAATCAGGTTTCAGATTCTTACCCCTAAATCAATAAGAAATATTTTTTTAAGTCATCTCTCAGATCCAAACAGAATTCTAAAATGGTGTTAGATGTTACTTGCAAAGTTTTACTTGCAAAAAAAATCCTCTTTTCTCTTTACTTGGTGCATAATTATTTTTGTAAGTATGATTACATTGCTAGAGACTACTTTTAATTTGGAGACCTAAATGGAATATTCCCCCTTTTTAATTTAACTGTTTCAAATAATTGCAGTCAAGATATTTATTTTATATATACCTGAAACAAAATTACTCCATGACTGAGAGCCCATGCAACCCTGACTTCTTTAATAAATAAAAAAAAATAAAGCCACTGTAACTCAGTGATGAAGTCAGTCCAGTCAAACAGGGTACAAGCCAAGGCTCTGATCCTGCAAGATGTACATGTATCCTTAATTTTACATGCATGAATAGTCCCATTGATTTAATTGTGATTACTCATGAAAATACTGTTAAGCTTGTATCTGTGCATGCATTTGCAAGATTGATGCACAAGGTGACACATGGCTATATATTTGGTGCCTGAATTTGCTGTGACATTCCAGTCCACAAAATGGACCAGAGATTTAACATGTTTGGTCTACAGCACCAACACTAGTGCTTTGCTTTTCACGGATACACAAGGCTCCATGGATGAAAAATAAGAGCTGTTTGAGGGTGAAGGGATGTTTGTGAAGTCAGCCCCTGAAATGTTCAGTGAATGAGATCACTCGTGGGTGGGTGAGTGGTAGGGAAGTAAAAGGGTCATTTAGAAAGCTGGTCAATATGTACAGCTTCCTTCCAGTTTTGGGGGGGGAGGGGTTGTTTTTCAATACATTTAGTATAGTGAAGGGGGGGCAGTGCCTATTTTGATTTGAAACCTTTTATGTAGTGTCTTTTTAAAATTATGTAGTATAAAAAAAATTGGCGAACGCTGAACACAGTGATTTTTTTTTTTTTCTTTTCTACTTGCTGAATAGAAGAAATGTGTAAGTACTGTCATTCTTTTTTTATTTGTTGCTGTAGTATAACTTTTTTAAAAAGAAAACCTCGCCATGTTTGTGTTGTGAGAATTTAGTTGGGCTATAGACAGGTGCCTCACTGCACAGTATTCAAGCAGATTTCTGAGAAATAGTTGATGTGGGTTTTTCTTATTCTTTGCACTAAATGCTGCTTCCACCTAAAAATGTGATAAAATACTTAAAAACCTGTTTCATAAAAATTTGACTGTGCGGAAAGAAGGCCGCTGGCTATGTATCTGCCACACTAACGCAGTGCACGTATTAAATTAAAGGTACACTCTTATTTCTTGTGTGATTCAGTTGTTAAAAGACAGTTGTGGATTTGATATTAAAACCATGCAATGATTTGAATATGGTAACTGCCACACACACACACACGCACACACACACTTCTGTGTCCTTCTACTGAGAAATTAAAACAACCTTTTTTGCCTTTTATTATTCAATAATTTTGAGATTTGTGATGGAGAAAGGTGACAGCAGTATTACATTCGATTACCTTCAAAATGCTACAGCCTTTATAACAAATCAAAACACAACTAAGCAAGTGCTTTGGTGTCTCGAAAAACTCAGTAAAATAAAAGCATCAGTCCAGTGCTTCACACATCAGGGATGTTGTCTGCCTCTGCAACCATTGTTGTGCTTTGAAAAGCTTCTTGGAATACTGTTGTCTTTATAGAATATTAGAAAAGATTTTAATTCAGTACCAGTAAAAATGTTTGAACAATCTTTCTGTGCATACAAAGCAAGCCATGATGGAATTTTAAAGTCATACCCATCATAGATAATAATAACAGAACTGAGTATATGCAGTTCTAGCACTTAACCATTGTCATATTTTTTTTTAGTGTTTTGGCAGTTTCTAATTACAATAAATATTAACGCTTTGCTGTTTAACTTTTCTTCAGTCACTTATCAAAACTGACACTTTTGCTTCCTATTATTTCATTCCTTGTCTAAATATTGCCATAAATTTCACATTGGAGCATCCTGTGGAAAAAGAAACAAAAAAAAAAAAAGAAACATAGCAACTGTTGGCTTCACTGATCCCTGTTGGCTTTACTGATCCCTGCGTGTTCTGAATGCTGTTTTATAACCACCAGTTAATTTATTTTTCTTGGGAACCAGAGTTTGTAGGCAACAAGCCCTTCATAGGGCATAGTTGTGACAATGCAGACAAAACTCAGAAACTCCTCAGTGACTACAGAATGCCATTTCCAAGAAAGACGTAGGTGCTTAAGTAGTTTAGAAAATACTGTGCCTTTTGAGAGAGTTTTCCCACCACCATAAGATTACCTCATGTCCTACAGTAAACTACTGAGAGCCTCACACCAGCTGCGATGTCGGTTTTCCAACTATATCTCAAGACTCCTTCCAGGATGCATTTTCTGTCCCTTGTGGAACTTCTCCAAACCATCTCTCCTTATTTTAATGATACCACTTGATACGTCTTTGGGCAGAATCAGAGGAGGAGAAAGAAAAGGCAAGAAGAATAATGACACTGAAATTCAAAGAGAAATTGGTTTATTAATAGACTCTACCATTCCTACTAGTTATTCTAGATATAAGACTTTCTCTAATGAAGGACTCAGTTGTCTAAAAGTTAAGTTTTCTAGCACTCATAGACCTCTGGCCCATGAGGGTAACTGAAAAGGCTTGAGTGAAGCATTTGGACTCCTTTTATAGAAATGTATTGAAAGAGCTGAGTGCCTTGGAAGGAACTCTGAGGTTTAAGCATTTCGCTTGGGCCTGCAGGTATATGCTCCACAACCTGGAGTTCTCTTATGAGTGTAGATTAATAGAATTTAGCAGGGGGTTTTTGCATGCTGTGAGGAGCAGATTCTGTCTGTGTTTGGTAGTTTTGTTGATCTGACCCATAGGTATAACTTTCATGTACAGTTGAGTAATATTTTCTAGTAATATATTTTAGACAAAAATTGCAGATCTACATGGTAGACTTGAGAATCCTGACATGGAATTATATTTTTGTAGTTCATCTAAGCTAAAGAAAGTACATATCAGTTTAGCAAAACCTCAAATTTTACATTTTATATTGAAAATAATCCTATTTATGAGCACTGTGACTCCCAGAGAACTTCATCAGAGGAGATTTTTACAGAGATCTGTTGCACTGTGATGGTTTTGCTTTTAAGCTCCCCATTAGTTGTATCATACTTGGTATTCCTTTTACTTGATATACCTTATTCAAGCATACCACTACCTCCAAAGAGTCCCGGGTGATAGAGGCACAGCAGTTCTTCTATTTTAAAAATGGAGTGTCCATTCATAGTGTGTGCCTTAAAACTAATATGGTTCAACATCTACTTCTATCTAGAAAAGTTAGTAAATGTAGTGCAAACACCAGGACTGGAGAAACTGGAAAATAGGATCAAACTGAGTGAGTATGTAAAGAGGAACTATGTAAGGTGTCTAATTTACTTTAAGGGACAATCCTGCACTGGAAAATGAAGACTTAGATTAGAGTTGAAGAGACTTAACTGCCATTAATGTGGTTCAAGTGTTGAATGCTCTTGGAAATCCAAACCATAAAAAACCCCAGGTGAACGAAGATGCTCTCAGGCTTGATTCAGAAAAACATTCAAAGGTTTAAATTCACAGGTAAAATGCCTCCAGGTTTATCTGAGCATCTTTATTTTGTAGGCTGTCATAGAACTTTCTGATTTCGGGGAGACTGAGAAATGCAATCAAGACAAGTTTCCTTATGGTGTGTTTTGGTGTTTCCATTTTCTGGTGCAGTCTCAAAATAGAAAATGCAAAGGTGCACAGGAATTGAATAAACCTCAACTCTTCGAAGTCAAAAAATCTTTCGGGTATGCTTGACTGAACTTAATGGTGGTTGCTCTGTTTTAACATTTCAAGCCAGTTTGCCCATTCCTACAAGTGTATGGTTGAAATATCAAAGCCTTTGTTCAAACCTCCTAGGGAGAGAGGAATCTGAAAAAGGGTTAAGGCTTGAATTTCATTTTCTGAATCCTATGTAAAGCATTTATCACAGCATTTCTGGGCATTCACAGTTTTCAAGTAACCACAGTTTTGGAGGAGCTGCAGGACAATTCACCACAAGCCACAATGTTACTTCAGTTAGCTAGGATTTCAGTTTAGGGTTAATTCTAAATCCATGTTTTGAGGCCATGTGTTTTTTCCAGATTTTGCCAGGCTTAACCTACTTGTAAAGAAAGATTTTCTATTATTTAAGAGTACCCACTCTTCCTTCCCATTTCACTTTAGATAAATGGGCATTGTCTTTGGCTGGATTTTGAATAAAGTACATTTCATAATTAGTTTTTAAGACAGGGTTTTAGTTTTAAGAATTGCAAAGGTAAGACTGAGGTTTAAAGCAGTTGTGTATTTGCATATTTTTCCACAGTTCAGAACTTCTTGGCAATTGATGCTTTTAGTTACATTCACTCAAAAAAGACAACCCCTCATTTTATTGGAATAGTATGCAATATGAGCAATGTGCTCTTAATTCCATGTCTAGCTATTAAGTTGCTTGTAAAAGCAATGATATCACTGTATAAGAAATCATCTGATGCTTTTATTTAAGGATCAGAGTACAATTATACTTACATGGTGGGCTGTCGCTGGAAGGAGGGCGGGATTCAGTGGAGTTGGATTGAAGCATTCTATGATTGGTTCCTTAGTGTAAATGACCATCTTGTTGCAGGTTGTGCTTCATGCTACAAAGTTGGAAAAATCTTAAGATAAACTTGAGCTATGCCTTTGAACCAGCTTTGTAGCAGCACTTAACTGAAAATGCCATGGATGATTAGTGGTTACATTTCAACTTTAAACTCATTAAAATTATATTCTCTTGATTTGGGGAGGGTGATGAAAGCCAGCTGCATTCTGAGATACAAGGTTTAGAAGTGAAAGCGTAAGCTTTCATTTTATCTGCAGTGAACCATCAATGAAGTGTATCACTTTTATTTGAAAGTCAACCTAATTGTAAATCAAGGTTAGTAGTTACCCTTACCCACTGCGTGTGGATAACTAATTAGTAGAAATGAGTCATGTGTAGTAGAGTAGCATCAACAGTACATGAATTAAAATGGCTTTTAACTTTAACCTTTTAAATTGCATTTTATTGCAATAAGCTGCTACGTTCAATAGTCCTTAAATACTGTATTTACTTGTAAATACAAGATGAAGTTTTTTGGTTTTTTTACCCCAGTTATCGGGGGAAAAAAGCCCTTCCTCATATTTGCATACAGGGAAACCTCATTGAATATACTGTCCATCATTAAACTACTGTCAAAAGCA